ACTATCAGGTGGTTCTGGTAACAACATAATTGAGAACAGTACTCTAAAAAAAGTGCAGTCTCAGAAACAAACTGATCCATCGCGTCCAAATGACTGTCCATTAGGCAACTGAAAACCCAGCAGAAGACCAATATCTTTATTAATCCAATCAGCAAAAGCTTTAACTGCTCACTCAGGGCACTATGTCCTAAACTTAACTTTTAACTGTAACATACCTTTAAAAAAATGGATGCCTTTTAAAAAATGCAGTGTGCATTTCTTTTAATCCATACACCAGAACACAAGATGAACAAGCACATATTTTTCAAAGCTAGACCCCTCGACTTCTCTTTGTCTCTTTCCTGCCATTTAATCCCAAAATCAAATGGTGAGACGCTCTCAGTTGATCGCCGGCTCACTCTCCACCCTCCTGCTGTGAGACATGAATCTTTAATGGGCCCTGCAGTGTCTACATCAGGCACACACAAACCCTCTGCCCGTCTCAAAAGAGCCTGCAGCACCTTTAACTATCAGCATCCAAAATCCTCTATGACTTCTATTACAACACAATTTACCCTATCACATTTACCCTATCAAGTTACATAATAATCAAAGATCGACATGAGGTAACTACTTTTTTTTCTGGACTTATCTTATTATGGACTATTTCTCTACTAAACATAACTAGTCAGACCTAGAAATAGAATTTTATGAAATGTATCAATTGTTAGATAACAAATAAAAAAACAGAAATAAACTATAAGGGCCCGACCTTTTATTTTTGAGTTTTGGTCACTTTCAATGGCATTTTGGCCGCAAGCCCTTGTTCATTTCTGCCTCTGCTGCAAGCACACCGACCATCAAGCTTTGCACCACAGCAGAAATGCATGTCACTGCGGACCACATCTGTGTGAGACTGCGTAGTATGGACATAGGTCTCCTTTTTCAGAGCCGTCTCATTAATATAATTAATAATAAATCAACCTTTAGCAGTCAGCAGGAAAAGGAAAAGTCTGTGCCACCACTATTTAATGACTCTGGATCTGACGCTGTGCTGTTGTTGTAGTGTTATTCTCAGCTTCTTTACAGACAGGCTATGACTGTAACCATTGCTTAAGTGCAGAGGCATGACAATGGAAGCTACCTGTGGTGAATAGTAACACCTACTCTGTCATAACTATAGTGAAGGGTGAGCTAATGAATTTGACAGTATATCTAATATACGTTCTATGAGTTACATCATTTTGCTGCCGATAAAAAAAAAAAAAAACTTCTTGCACATAGGCTGTATGATAAATGCTACATTCCATTTCTGGAGCAAATACATATTAAATTCTACTGTTTAAAAGTTTGGGGTCAGTACGATTTTTAAAATGTTTTTGAAAGCATGTTCACCGAGGCTGTACCAAATCGGGTAAAAACAGTGATATTCTGAAATATAATTATAATTCTAAATAACAAATAAAATAATAATAAAATTCATATTTTAAAAATGTAATTTATTCATGATCCTTCAGCAATCACTCTAGTATACCGATTTGGTACTCAAGAAACATTTTTTTATTATTATCAATAGTTAAATTGCAGTTGTGCTGGTTAATAATCTTTTTTTTTTTCAGGATTCTTTTAAAAAGTACAGAATTTATTTAAAATATAAATCTTTTGTAACATTATAAATGTCTTTACTGCAACTTTTGAAAAATTAAATGCCTCCTCACTGAATAAAAATGAATTTCTTTATAAAATAATTATAATAATAAAAAAAACTTACTGACCCCAAACTTCTGAATTATTATTATTATTATTTTGTGTGTGTGTGTGTGTTATATGGCAGCCTAGACCTACAGTCATTAAGAGATTTTAAAGAGATAATTGTACAATTTGTATCTGTCAATTAATCAAATATATGAGCAAAAATAAATAATAATAATAATAATAATAATAGCAAAGAGTGGCGTCTAGTGCAAAAAAAAGGAATTTTTTATTCCTTATACCTTCTCGAGGAAAGCTGCAGCCGTCTCTCGCTTTGTTGAGGCGATTTTTTTCATTCCCTCTGGAGACTGGACACGGATGATCTGGCAATGAATAAACATTAAGGGAAAGGAAAGGAAGTTTATGGTTACTACAAAAGGTATGTTTGTTGTTCAATCATATGCTTGTTTCTCACACAGATCTAGCACAGAATTACTCATACAGAAAAGTTACAAGTTAAAACGAGATGCGAGCAAAACTACTAATCAGCCCAAAACAAGCCAGAATGAATAAGAGAAAACAGGTGGCTGGAGGGCAAACCACTGACATCTGACACTCAATAAACTGCCGCAGAGGTCTATGCATGCCGCACGAATCCATGTCCACAAATCTCACTGAATGACATATTATAATAACATAGAGCTAAATCATGCTCTCGCTGCTTTTTCTTAATACAAAAACCAAAACAAAACATCATGTGCCATTCAAAGCACTTTAATAAATTACTCAACGTCAATTCCCTTCACAGATACAAAACTATAAGAAGCACGAAAGCTAAACAAAAATAGAATTACCTTCTATTTTAATATCTCTACCTATTTATTCAGGTGAAATTCAGCATCTAGACTTTAATAAGTAGTTGACAAGAACTTGCACTGACACATCTTGTCTTCATCAACCTGTGCCAAGCTAAATAAAGTGAACACAGCAGAAATAATAAACCTCAGCTGTAAATCATAAGTTAATGAGTCAGATGAGTGGTAGGCACACACATAAATGCTGTTTTTAGTATTTAATGTGTTTCTGGACGATTCTGGCTGAGTCTAATCATTAGCATCATGCTAACAATTCTGCTGCCTCATCACTGGATGACAGACTTCACTCAAACTGCCTACATACACACGCAGACAGACACTTACTACGTTTTCCGCCATGTTGATGAGATGAACCGTCCCTCGTGATGTCGCTGAAATGAGAGCTGGCGTATTTTAATATCGCTGTTTATATGATCTGCTCGGATCTATGCAGCGATGCCAAACTCATAGAGCCGGTGCTACATCTAAATGAGTCCGGGCTATGACGGGCTCCTGCTTAACGTCACCGGATAGAAACAAAAAGATAAATGTTGTGTTTCTGTATATTTTCGTTTATTTTTAGGGATTGTATGTATTATTGTTTTTGTTGCTGTAGATTCTTCCATTCAGAGATTATCCAGATGCATTGTATAGAATGCACATATTTCCTTCTGTGACATTTTATGACGTATTATTTATACTATAATAAACAGCTTATATATTTTGCTTATTTAATGTATGCTTTGAATAGACACACTGTTTTGCATCCAATACTAAAGTAGAAATCAAACCATACAAATAAAATGACTTATATACATTTTTTAAGTCTATATTTTATATAAGTTTACATTTTATTCAACAGGTGGGAGTTGATTCTTTAAATAGCTAATGCATTACATTTGGAAAAAAGTAAATAAATAAATGTAAAAATATTTCATCCGTAGTCTTATTTGATTATATTCAAACAATCAGTAATATTAATAAAATCAATGTTTCGGCTCTGCTTTTTACATTTCTCAACTTACACGAGGCATGAAAAACAAGCAAATCATTTTTTCTCTTTTTGTCAAGCTTTATTTTGATCTCATCCTGTAGAGAGAAATCTTCACTTTACACACTGATGTTGTCAACCCCCAAACATGCCCTCAAAACAGATGCATGTTCAGTCTGAAACACTATCTGCAAAATACAGGCCTAAACAACTCAGAACTTGAGGATTCAGGACACACAATCCTAACACATATAAAGGATCTGTGCAAAAAGTAACATATGTTAATGCTTGTGCAAACCACATCTTTTCATAGAATTTACTTTGGATATATCATTTTATATGTGGATACATGAGGATCTGACTGTACGGGAAATGTGCTTTTTTTTTTACAAAATGAAAAACCTAGAATGTGACTAAACTTATGGATGAACAAATGAATGAATGAACATATAACACAATAGTGAAAGATAGAGCATGCAACAAACATAAACATAGGGAAATAAACATACTTGACACAATGCCAATAAAGTGAAAGAAAATCAGAAGAATTATTGGGTAGAAAATCATACATTTATGAAAGATACAGGATGTTTAAATGAATAGATTAAATTATAATGAATAATATTATACAATGAAATATACAAATGGAAAGTAATGAATACATTAGATAGAAATGATACTAAAATGGGACACAATGATAAAGAGGGATGTGATGATGAGGATGACAGATGATGGCGATGAAAAAGGAAATAACTACACAAAATGATCACGGATGAAAAAAACACGACAGCCCGACACTGTTCCCTAACAGTCGTCTGAGAGACTTACTGAAACCGAGAATTATAGCCAAAAATGAAATCGTGCTTGTATGTGTGCTAATATGGATGCACTGAATGACGGGGTTGCAAAGCACAAAGTAAATATGATATTAAAAAATGAATGGTTCCTGAGGGTATCCTTACACAGAATACTCAGAAATTAAAAAAGGGAGTGAAAAGGTTGAAACTTTAAAATCGGTATTTATGACCCACTTGGGTAGCCTGATGGGGAAATAGTGTTATGAAGTAAAGTTTTGTAAATCTAATGTCGGCCAGCAGGGTGTTTCATCTCTACTACAGGACTTTGATCTTTTCTTATGAACTCTGCGAAGGTGGACAGAGGAGGCACCGAGGCACGTGAAATGAGAAGCCAGGCATTTCACGGGCGTGTGTCATGCTTTTACTCACTCAGAGGCTGTCTTGCTTCCGTATGTTTCGTGTTCCAGAAGAAAACAGGGAGGGAGAGTAGAAAAAGAAGACGAGAGGAAAGAAAAGGAGCAGCAGTTTTTCTAAGTAAACAGAATGCAATCTGACTGGATCTTTTCTGTTCTATTGTTTGAGCAGAAAGTGTTCTTGGACTGCAAGAAAGAAAAGAAACCAGAGGGATGGATAGTCAGATATATATTTTTTGTTGTTGTTTAGTTTTCCCATTTTTATAAATGTTGCTGTTTTGTGTGTTTATTCTGTTATAAAAGTTGGAATGGTCCACTTGGAGACGATGGCCAGGATGGAGGCAGGTGGTTTGGAGAACATGACTGGAAGGGGTCTTCACTGCACAGAGGATGATGGGAAGGTAACGGGCTCAGATGATACCATACTGAGCCAGCTCGTGAAGCTCCAGATGGTTGAAGGCCTCCCAGGGGCAGATGACAGTGATGTCTGCAGGTAGAAACACAGGAACGTGAGTTCATCTATCATTCAAAGAGTTAACTTAAGCAGATTGATGGCCAGCTAGCATTCAGGTCTGTTTAATCACAGTAATGTCATAAGATATCATATAGGATCATTGATGATGCTTAGTATGAGAGGCTTGTCTGACATACATGCACTGTCTGATCAGACTAATCATTTCAGACAAGGACAGCTTAGAATAGATGGTAGGTGATGTTGTCATAATGGCAAAACACGTGAGGAGAAATGCAGATTATACTTACCAGTGCCTAAACCTTCCATGCCAGGGATGTCATCTCCGAAACTATTAAATATAAATAAATAAAATAAATGCGATAAAAAAAGAATGAGATAATTAAATAAAATTAGATAGAATTAGACACATTTGGTTAAATTCAATTAGATCATTTTAAAATACATTATATTTTTAGAACAGTCATGTTGTCGAATTATTGAATGTGCACAGTTTTAATTATTCTTAGTATAATAAAGCATGACTGAAGTGTGGAATATCACAAAGCCATTATCATAAAGATTTTACTTTACTGTCTAACTTACCCTTGGATACCCTTCTTTGGTGGCTTGCTCTTGAACTGGCGAGTCTGCCTCTGCTTGAACTTGGGCGGTCCTTTGCGTGGTGTGGCAGGACCACCGGTGACACGGGTGGCTGATTTGATATCTGGTTTGGGTGGCTCAAGATTCATGGCTGTTTGTCACTGTTGGTCGTTTTTCTTTGTATTCGCTACCCGTGATGTAGTGCTGATGTAAATGCATCAGAAAGACTGGAGTGAGTTTATAGTTCACACCCAATGAAATATAGATTTTGTTTTGTAAAATGGATTTTGGCTTCATTCTGGAAAAAAAAATTAGGGCTTTGTGACACATACAAACAAATTAAAACACATAGATTTTTAAATTACACATTAGGCCAGGAAGGTTACAGTAATTGCAAGGTCAAACTGACACCTAATGAATATCTATGGCAGCAACCCCAGACTGAGAAAACTATACCCATAATCCTCTTACTGATGAGTAATACACAAATCCAAATACATATTCCACTCTAACTGAATGTCTAGCATGGCCGTGCTCCTAGAAATGAGCTCAGTGAATGTTTGATGAGTAGGGTGACCCATTTTGTGTAATCCTGCTTGGATTAATAAACGTCCCCCATCCCAATGGTGGCAATCTGCACTTGGATTAATCTTATTAAAGCAGGGATAACACCAAAACATGCTGAGCAAACAGAAAAGATAAGAGTCAAAATATGACCTTCAGTTATATTCTTCAAAGACCTATTGGAATAGACAATGACAATGATGCACGTTGCACAATTGTTGGTTACTGCTCTTTCTTTCTTTCTTTCTTTCTTTATATATATATATATATATATATGGGCTTTCTCAATTTAAAAAGAAAAAAAATTGAAAAAACACTTCTTTAAACGCTTTCTATGTGACAGAAAGCATTTAAAGAAGTGTTTTTTTCTTGATCATTCTAACTGTGCGTTTTCACTCTCAGAGTTGAAACTGGAACTATTTCCTGCGGGATTCTCTGGAAGACACACAGTATTTCCTGTATCACAGTGAAGCCATTTCCTGATTAGCGCAGTCGTGGTCGACATACGGTCATTCAGACTGAACGAACACAGAGAGTTCACATAGCGAATGATGAATGTCTAGACAGCAGTGCTATTGAACGGGGAGTAGATGATTCTGCTTTTCAACAGTGTTATTTTAGCATCATTGAGATTCATATTTGCAGATTGAGTCTGTAAACAAAGACAGATGTATAACACAGAAAAGTGACGCGTACCAGGCGCTGACGCACACCTCGGCGGGATTCTCGCAGATGGCGGTGATGTTGCATGAGGATTCGCATACGCCGGTGGCGTTACACGCCGTAGATTCAATGTCACAGAACTTACAGAGCTGAGGAAGTCTGAACGCTCCTTTCGTTTCTGATGCATGCACTGCAAAAACACAGAGAGAAATGTTTCCATATTATTCATTCACTCATTCTCTGCATTACAATCATTTCTAATGAATTACACTTGAAAGTATTAAAACTAGTATTATTTACTCAAACTCGAAACCAGTATGTAGAAAAAGTTGACACTTTTGACAAATCTTCACTCAGCTCTATAAAACTAGCCGTTTTATAAACATGTATGTATTTATCTGGTAACGTTTTAAAATAAGGTTTAATTTTTTAACAGTAGTCATGTTATGTTAGTTAACATGAATTACCAACAAAAACTATTTTACAGCATTTATTAATCAATGCTCATTTCAACAATTACTAATACATTTCAAAATCAAAAGGTTTATTGGTTGATATTAGTTCATTAAATTAAATTAAATTTTGTATTTTATTATACACACACTCATACACACAAACACACACACACACACATATACATACACATACACACACACACACACACATATATATATATATATATATTAGGGGTGTAACGGTACACAGAGGTCACTGTTCGGTATGTACCTCGGTTTTGGGGTCACAGTTCGATAAGAGGAAATTAATTGTTTCATTTATTTTGAACGGACAGTGGCACTACACACACACACACACACACACACACACACACACACGTAGCACGAGCAGTTGTTTTTTAATTAAATTGTATAATTTTAAGCAGAAACAGAACGGTCTGCCTTTAGATTTGTGAAATTATGCTACATCAGACACCTGCACAAAACAAAATCAGCAGACGGACTGAATGAAAATGCACATTCACTTTCTGACAGCAGGTGGCGCTAATGGAACAGCAGCGATACAGCGTTTCCTTGGTTACCTATCCACCTTATTTTTCAATGCAGAATTAAGCTGTTTTCTGTGAATGTGTGAGACTTCCGGTTCATTAGCCACTGTAGAGAAATAACGAGAAGAATAAGAAAGTGCAGTAAACGGTAGAACTGCTTGTGCTACAAACCAGTGTGTTCATAATTAAGATAATATATTAAAATAATATGGTAAGACACCCCAG